ACTGGAGATTTTTCACACACAAAAACTCAACAAGGAAACAACAACCTTAAATGATACACTAGATCAGGTGGATTTAATTGATATTTATAGAACATTTCATCCCAAAGCTGCAGAATATACATTATTCTCAAGTGCACATGGAACATTCTTAAAGATAGACTACATGTTAGGACACAAAATAAGCCTTTACAAGTTCAAGAAGATTGAAATCATATCAAGTATACTAGAGGTCCAATGCACGAAATTTGGGCAAGGGGCTTGACCCTTGCAGCCCCGGCTGCCTCATGGCTCTGGCTGTCTCTCGGCCCTATGGCCCCACCCCCACCCACTGGTCATTCTAGAGGGTTGTTCCTCCATCCATCTGATTAGCATATTAGCTCTTTATTATATAGGATTCTAAGATCACAATGGCACGAAACTATAATAACAAATCTCAAAACCAGTCAAACACATGGAGACCACATAGCATGTTATTAAACAATGAATGGGTTAACAGTGAGATCAAGGAAGAAATAAAAAACTTCCTGGAAACAAATGAAAGGGGACATGCAATTTCCCAAAAGCTATGGGATACAGTGAAAGCAGTTCCGAGAGGGAAGTTCATAGCATTACAGGCCTACCTCATGAAACAAGAAAAACATCAACTACCTAAACCCACAACTAAGATATTAGAAAGAGAACAACAAGAAAAGCCCAGAAGTAGAAGAAATGAAATAATAAATATCAAAGCAGAAATTAATGGCATAGAGACTAAAAAACAACATAAAAGATCAATGAAATCAAGAGCTGGTCCTTTAAAAAGATAAACAAAATTGATGAACCATTAGCCAGACTTCATCAAGAAACAAAGAAAGAAGTCAAATAAATAAAATCAGAAATGAAAGAGTCAAAGTAATAATTGACACCACAGAAATACAAAGAATTGTAAAAAAAAATACTATGAACAACTATATGCCAACAAACTGAACAACCTGGGTGAAATGGACAAATTCCAGGAAATATACAATCTTCAAAAACTCAATCAGGAAGAATCAGGAAACTTGAATGGGCCAATAACAACTAATGAATTTGAAGCAGTAATCAAACAAACAAACAAAACAAAAAATACTTGTACTGGATGGCTTCACAGGCGAGTTTTACGAAACACTCAAAGAAGAACTAACACCTAGTCTCCGCAAACTACTCTAGAAAATTCAGGAGGAGGGGAGTCTTCCTTTTATGGGGCCAGCATAATCCTAATTCCAAAACCAACTAAAGATACTACAAAGAATGGAAATTATAGGCCAATATCCCTGATGAATACAGATGCTAAAATCCTCAACAAAATATTAGCAAATCAGATCCAGCAATACATTAAAGAGATCATAGAAATTTCAACAACTTAACCAACTATAATTTAACAAAGAAATCCCAGGCCTCAGACACCTGCATACTGAAACATCTAAAGGTGGGCAACCAAGAATAAACCAGGACACAAGAAGAGAGGAAAGCACAGATGGCCTGCAGGTGCAGCACTGCAGCCGGGAGCTGGAGGCTCTGCCTAGTGGAGGAAGCCAGCAGTAGCAGGTGCTTTCTTCCACCGGAGGAACAGAGAGATGCAAGCGGGGGTGGGGAGGGAGAGGAGCAGTCCAGCAGGGTGAGCAGCAAGGGAGCGAACAATGATTGAGCCAGCAGACGCCTGACAGAGCACAGGGTCTGGCCGCGCAGCTCCACTGTTGGACCAGGCAGTGGAGTTTCAGACAAAGAAATGGAACCACAGAGGACTGCCACCACTTGGGCTCCCAAAACGTGCCTCCCATTGCCCTTGGGGTCAGGGAGGAGCATATTATCTGTAAACCAAGAGCTGCTGCAGTAGAACTGCTGTTTCCCTCTGTGACTGATCCCCAGGTGGGGTGCTTGGGGTGGGACCCCACGGAGGTCAGGGGTCGCCATTACTGTGAAGGCAAAACAAACCCCACTCCCAAGCAGCACAGCTGTACTTTCTTACAGAAGCTATGGAGGTTGACAGGGAGATCACGGAGGAAAACAAAATCTTGCAATTCAGTGCCATCTACTGGAAAATAGTAGAAAGACCTCTTCAGAGGAAGCTGCTATCAGCCATATATATATATATATATACAGACAGATATAAATGCCTAGGCAAAGAACAGCAAATACCATGAATAACAAGGATGATGAGAAAGAAAAGGAAAAACCCCCAGAAGCAACCTACACCACATGGAAATATATGACATAAATGACAGAGATTTGCAGTTCTGAAAATACTCAATGCAATATGAGAAAATACAGACAGGCAATTCAATGCTCTCAGAAAACAAATCAATGAACAAAACGAGTACTTTACCAAAGAGATTGAAACTTTAAAAAAGAACTAATCAGAAATCCTGGAAATTAAGCATGCAATTAAGTAGATTAAGAGTGAACCACTGAGAGACCCAAGATGGCAGCATAGGCAAATGCCTGTGCTCACTGCTTCCCACAACCACATCAAAACTACAACTAAAATACAGAACAACCATCATCCAGAACTGCTGGAAAGCTGGCTGAATGGAAGTCCTACAACTAGAGAAGTAAAGAGGAAAGCACACAGACTGGTAGGAGGTGCGGAGGCACAAAACAGACTGGTCCGGCACCCCGGTGTGCCGCTTTTTTTAATCAGGAGGGAGAGCACCTCTGCGGAGGCTGCCCAGAGGAGCAAGGGGTCCCAGCCCCACACCAGACACCCATCCTAGGGTCCCAGAGCTGGGAAAAGAAGTTCCTATGGGCTGGCAGTAAGAACTACAGGCTGTAAAAACCAGTGCGGATTGGGGCTGAATGACACACGGGCTACTGAGACCCAGCTGCTCCTCTTAAAAGGCTAGCACCACAAATTGAATTTACAAGCCCCTGCTTCCTCTGAGCTCTAGTGTCGGGCGAGTCTCTGGGGGACCCAGACACATATGAGAAGAAACTGGACTGTCTGGCATTGGGGCAGGAACTTGGGGGTGGCTTTCTTCCAGACAGAGGTGCTCACAGCAATCATTGTTCTCATGCAGGGACCTCCCCTGTTGCAGGGCTGACTGGCAGCCATCTCTGTTTGCTCTGCCCTGGTGATTCCCTGAGACCCTGCCCCACCCAATTTATAACCCCACCCAAGCTATGCGCAGTGGCTTTTGCATATGAATGGCCTGTCCTTCCAAAGGCTAAAAACCTGTTAAACAAGCTGCAGCTGAGTCAGGAAGCCACAAACCTATCAATAAAAGCCCCAAGACCCGGCACCAGCACCAGCCCGCCTTGCTTCACAGCTGGGCCTTGTCTGGGCACTTCCAAACCTGAAACAAAGAGGAAGAATCTGCAGATCTCTCTGTAGCTCCTGCTGGATGGTCCCAGGCAGTGGATGACTTTGCAACTCCCTGGAGACCCAAGAGCCAGTGTACCCAGTGGTCAGTGTGAGACCATACCAGATTACAACTCTTCACATCCATAAGTGATATGCTCAAGGGGCAGAATCAGTGAGCACCAAAACCCCACTGAAGCAAGTCTTGCTCCATAACATGTCTCCTGCACAGCAGCTGTCCCACTGTAGTCACAGCTGGTCCCCACAGCCAATTGGCCTGGAGGTCAATTCCTCCCAGTGACACCAACAGCAATCAAGGCTCAACTACAACAAGACTGTGTGCACAGCCCACACAGGGTCACACCTAGAGTGTCCACCATAGGTGATTGGGGAGGCTGAACCACTGGGTCCTGTAGGACACCTACTACACAAGGCCACTCTATCAACTCAGGAGACTTAGCAGCTACCCAACACATAGAAACAAACACAGGGAAGCAGCCAAAAGGCAGGGATAATGAAACATGTCACAAATGAAAGAAATGGAAGAAAGCAAACTACTGGATATAGAGTTCAAAACCATAGTTATAAGGTTACTCAAGAATCTTCTAGAAACCTTCAAGGCAGTGGTGGCCAACCTGTGGTCCACGGACCACTGGTGGTCTGTGGGGTCCAAAAGGTTGCAACTGCTGGTTTAAGGAAACTGTTGGAGCATCAGTCACCAACCAGTGATCCACGGACCACTGGTGGTCCATGAGGTCTGAAATGTTGGCGACCGCTGTTCCAAGGGACTTATTGAGACTTTCAAGGATCTTAGTGAGAATGTCAACAAAATGGAAAAGACCAGTCAGAAATTAAGCATACACTGACTAAAATAAAGAATAATATACCGGGATTCAACAGTAGACTAAAGGATCCTGAGAATCAAATCAATGATTTGAAATATGAGGAAGCAAAAAACATCCAACCAAAAGAGGAAAAAGAAAAACGAATCCAAAAATATGAAGATAGTGTAAGGAGCCTCTCGGACAACTTCAAGCATACCAACATCTGAATTATGGGGGTGCCAGAAGAAGAGAGAGAGCAAGATATCGAAAACCTATTTGAAGAAATAATGATAGAAAACTTCCCAAGTCCAGAAGGCACAGAGAACCCCAAACAAGAGGAACCCAAAGAGGACCACACCGAGACACATCATAATTAAAATGCAAAGGGCAAAAGACAAAGAGAGGACTTTAAAAGCAGCAATAGAGAAGCAGTTAGTTACCTATAAGGGAGTGCCCATGCAACTATCAGCTGATTTGTCAACAGAAACTGTAGAGAGCACCTGGGAAGGCACATGGTCACTTCTTTAATTATTGTCAGCTGAATCCAGTGGCACTGGCAGAGCCACATCCTGGAAACACACCTTGCCAGAGGCAGGAGTGTTGTCAGCTTCAGCCCAGGCACCAGCGGGTGGGTTTTGTTATCTAAATCCAGCCAAGCGCCAGGAATGAATTTGACTCTGGCCACCCAAGAATGCACATAATCTCCTTTGTCTTGACCTGTAGTAAAACTTCCTGGTTTTTGCTGTATAAAATGAATGCGCTGTATTGGCTCTGGGTCAGAGGACAGCTGTCCCACCCGGCCCCAGCTTTTCCCTTCTAACTCTGTGTCTGTCTCTTTCTTTCATTTTCTCAATCCCCAGCAGCCCCTACTCAGGAACTGGTCCACTCTCTCGCCAAGCTGGATGCAGAAAGGAGAGAAATATTTACATTTGGCATTCGGATGCAGGGACTTGATTACAGGGGAACTCTCAAAAGTCAAGCAAGGGGGTTGCTACGAGAAGTGTGCTGCACAACAGACTAAAGAAGTAAGGTAAGGAGTGGATATTGTAAGTTGCATTGGCTGTGTGTAAAACATGGACAATTCAGGGTCTCAGGAAAGACCTCTACTCTCAAATGCTTAAAATATGCTCAAAGCTCGAAGATGCTCTGTTAAGAGTAGTCAGATTCTTGATTTCTTAAATTTTGTTAATGAAACGTGCCCTTGGTTTTCTGAAGAGGGAACCATCAACTTTCAAACGTGAGAAAAGGTCGGAAAGCAGTTGCATGACCGATACACAGCAGAAGGTCCAGAGAAGATTCCCCTTTCTACATTCACATTATGGTCTTTAATTCACGATTACCTTGATCCAGCGCAGGAGAGTTTAAGAATGTCTAAGCAGGATGTGGCCACAGCTTCACAGCCTACAGTGGAGAGGTGCGAATCTCTAAAAATACCACTTCCCCCCGCTGTGCCTCCTTCGCCTCTGCCTGTCGCTCCTGCAACCGCAGTCAAGAGCCCACCTGATAAAGATTTGCCTTGTAATTATGAGCAGGAGCTGGAGTTTGAGGCAGAGCAGGAGAAGCATCACTGTGATGGGATAACTCAGATGATAAGTGTTAGGTCGGAGGGAAGTCCAGGAGCCGCTGCATGCAACCGCAAGGCAGGTGGTCACGCAGACACTGGATCCTTCCTGGAGCCCGTAACAGACCAGTGCACCAGGTAGATGGTGACACAGATACTGGTTCCTTCCTGGAACCCATGACAGACCTGCCCGCGGCAGAAACTCCCACAGCTCATGCTCCCATGCCCTCACTGAACAGCTGTATAAAAAAAGTGCCTCCACTCCCTTTTGGCGAGACTTCACTGGCCCCACCCTTGGACCCATGAACCTCACCCGGGAGTGCAGATTAAAGTTCCTTCTTTTCGACCTGCCTGGCTCTCTGACCTTGTCTCCTGTGCCACGAACCTTACAATAAGAAAGGTTTTACTCACAGTTGCCCAGCCTTTACAGCTGGATGCAGAAGCTCGGCCGAAAGTGAAAGCGACTTCATATTTCATTTTGCTGGGGGCTCAAACTACTTGTACTGGGCTGGGGCAAGTAGAAAGGATTAAAGGAATTTCTCAGCAACTGCCAATAATTCTTTATCTCAAATTTTTTTTTCTTTCCCTCCCAGACCACCAGAAACTCTTAGCTAGTTAAATTCTTTCTATGTGTCTGTATTGTAAATTTAATCTGCTTTTCTCTGATTTGTGATTTTATTGTGCTATGTTAAAATTTTGAGATTTTAAGATTAATTTGAAAGTGTAAAATCTGTAAAAATTGCAACCCAGGAAAAACGAAGATGGCGGCATAGGTAAACACCAGAAATTGCTGCCTCTCACAACAACTTCAAAAATACAACGAAAAGACAAAACGGACATCATCCAGAACCACAGGAAGGCTGGCTGAGTGGAAATTCTACAACTAGAAGGAAAGAGAAAAGCACACTGAAACTCAGAGGAGCTGCGGAAGTAAAGTGCAGAGGTACGGAGGCTTGAGCATGCGCAGAAAGGGGCTGGCACCTGAGGATGCGGCTGTTTTTTTAAATTGGGAGGGAGTCACAAGCTCCCAACTGCTCTGAACTCCAGTCCTGGGAAGTCTCTGGGGATCCAGACTCATACGGGGAGAAACTGGACTGTCTGGCATCAGGCAGAACGCAGAACTTGAGGGCGGCTTTCCCTCAGAGGTACTTGCAGCAATTACCAGCCAGTCCCACCAAGGCCAGCCCCGGTACCTTCTTTTGGTGCAACGGCACCTTAAGCAACTGCATAAACTCCTCTGACCCCGGGCCTTGCTTTGTGGTCACAGTAGTTTTCCAACTAACCTTGTATGGAGAGTCAGAGCTCACCTGGCTGTTCCCTTCCTGGCGGGGCCCCTTAGGGCAGGGCTGAGGATCAGCCATAGCTGCTTGCTCCGCCCTTTGATTCCCTGAGACCCCGCCCCACCCAGGCTGCAGCAGAGGCTTTTGCATATGAATGCCCTAATCCTCTGCAATCTGAAAATTACCTAACAAACTGCAGCTGGGCCAGACAGACCCAGAACTTCCAAGAGAAGGCCCAAGGCCCCACAGCAGCTTGCATTGCTTCACAGCTGGGCCTCATCTGGGCACCTCCAAACCCCAAAAAAGGAAGGGGAATCTGCAGATCTCTTCGTAGCTCCTGCTGGGTAGCCTCAGGCAGAGGCTAAATTAGCACCTCTTTAGATCCAAGAGCCAGTGTACCCAGTGGTCAGAGTGGAACCATCCACATTACAACTCCTTAGATCCATAAGGGACACACTCAGGGGGCAGACTCAGTGAGCACCAAAGCCCCACTGAAGCAAGTCTTGTCCCAGAAGGGTGTCTTCAGCACAGAAGTTCTCCCACTGCAGACACAGCTGATTCTCACTGCCAATTGGCCTGGAGGTCAATTCCTCCCAGTGATTACTACAACAATCAAGGCTTAACTCAACAAGACTACAATAAGACTGTGCACAAAGCCAACAAAGGGGTGCACCAAGAGTGTCCACCTCAGGTAATTGGGGAAGCTGAGCCACTGGGCCCTATAGGTCACCTAGCACACAAAGCCACTCTACCAACACAGGGAAGCATAAAAATGTGGAGACAAAGAAACAGGTCACAAATGACAGAAATGGAGGAAAGCAACCACTGGATATAGAGTTCAAAACCACTGTTACAAGGTTTTTCAAGAATTTTCTGGAAACCGCTGATAAATTTAGTGAGACCCTGGAGGATATGAAAAAAGGCCAACTAGAAATTAAGCATACACTGACTGAAATAAAGAATAATACACAGAGATCCAACAGCAGACAAGAGGATCCCAAGAATCAAGTCAAAGATTTGAAATACGAAGAAACAAAAAATACTCAACCGGAAAAGCGAAAAGAAAAAAGAATCCAAAAATATGAAGATGGTGTAAGGAGCCTCTGGGACAACTTCAAGCGTACCAACATCCGAATTATAGGGGTGCCAGAAGAAGAGAGAGGGCAAGATATTGAAAACATATTTGAAGAAATAATGACAGAAAACTTCCCCTACCCGGTGAAAAAAAATAGACTTACAAGTCCAGGAAGTGCAGAGAACCCTAAACAAAAGGAATCCAAAGAGGACCACACCAAGACACATCATAATTAAAATGCCAAGAGCAAAAGACAAAGAGAGAATCTTAAAAGCAGCAAGAGAAAAAAAGTCAGTTACCTACAAGGGAGTACCCATACGACTGTCAGCTGATTTCTCAACAGAAACTATGCAAGCCAGAAGAGAGTGGCAAGAAATATTCAAAGTGATGAATAGCAAGATCCTACAACCAAGATTACTTTATCCAGCAAAGCTATCATTCAGAATTGAAGGTCAGATAAAGAGCTTCACAGATAAGAAAAAGCTAAAGAAGTTCATCACCACCAAACCAGCATTATATGAAATGCTGAAAGGTATTCTTTAAGAAGAGGAAGAAAAAAAGGTAAAGATAAAAATTATGAACAACAAATACACATCTATCAACAAGTGAATCTAAAAATCAAGTGAATAAAAAATCTGATGAACAGAGTCAACTGGTGAATATAATAGAACTAGGGGCATGGAAAGGGAGTGGACTGACAATTCCTGGGGGGAAAGGGGTGTGGGGGTGTAGGAAGAGACTGGACAAAAATCGTACACCTATGGATGAGGACAGTGGAAGGGGTAAGGGCAGAGGGTTTGGTGGGAACTGGGTGGAGGAGAGCTATAGGGGGGAAAAAGAGGAACAACTGTAATAATCTGAACAATAAAGGTTTAATTTAAAAAAAATTGCAACCCAGGGAAGTTTAAACAAAGGCCAGCTAATTCCAAGCATGCCTTTAATTTAAAAACAAAAACAAACAAACAGTAGACAACCAGACCATTACTGAATTTTCCCCCAAAGCAAATAGGAGGTGGGGGAAGGGAGACACGTGGTGATCCTGTAACATGTACGAGTGTTCTAGGAAAAGTCTCCTTCTCGCCATGAAAAGTTTTGCAGAATTTAGAAATGCGTCTGAGGTTTCTGTGCACGTGTAAAGAGAGAAGTTAGCTTAAAAAATGTGTGCACACGGTTCGATTTTGGATGTTAGATAGTTTTGAGCTAACCTTAATCTCTTTACGATGCCACAGAATAAAACCCAAAGACTGTTTTTTCTCAAAAGAAAGATAGCAGAGATGACCCAAAGATTTCCATATTAAAGGGTAGTTTTTAAATAATAATGGATCGCATTCTATAGTTAAAAAATTAAACAGTAAGTTATCTCTGTTACAGAATTTGCCAAAGTAAATGCCTTAGATCATTGTAATTGGCTCTAGAATCTCAAAATTGCTAAAACATAGCTAAATAATATCTACACTAATAAAAGACAAACATGCAAATTGACCATACCTTCGCTATGCCTTAAGCCATGCCCACCAGCCAATCAGAGTGACTATATGCAAATTAACCCAACCAAGATGGCGGCTGGCAGCCACAGAGCTGGAGCAAGCAGAAGACTTGGTTGCCCCAATGATGGAGGAAGCCAAGCTTCCCGCTTGCCACGGCAGGCTCTGAGCTCCATTCAAAGCAACAAAGTTTCAATTATAGAAGGTATATAAACCCCAGATACCTGCTTTCAGCCAGTGTGGCCACAGAGATGGAGCGAGCAGGAGGCTTCCCTCCCACCCGCCCTGGCCGGCTCTGAGCTCCTCTCAAGGCTACAAAGTTTCAATTATAGAAGGTAAATAAATCCCAGAATAAGAAAGAAAGAAAGAAAGAAAGAAAGAAAGAAAGAAAGAAAGAAAGAAAGAAAGAAAGAAAGAAAGAAAGAGAGAGAGAGAGAAAGAAAGAAAGAAAGAAAGAAAGAAAGAAAGAAAGAAAGAAAAGAAAGAAAGAAAGAAAGAAAGAAAGGAAGGAAGGAAGGAAGGAAGGAAGGAAGGAAGGAAGGAAGGAAGGAAGAAAAGAAAGAAGGAAAGAAAGAAAGAAAGAAAGAAAGAAAGAAAGAAAGAAAGAAAGAAGAGGCTGGGAGCTTCCGT